TTGTTGTTTTCTTTTTTTTTTTTTTTTTGTTTTAAAACTTTATTTTTTTTCTAAAAAAAATGACTCATTGAAAATGATTGTTAAATATTAAAATATCAAATGTTTAATATTTCCTTTTTTTTTTTACAACAAAAGTTTTAAATCTTTAATGTATACATTTTCATTATCAATTATTATGGAAATAAATTAGGATGAGACGATTAATGAGGCATTTCTTCCACATATCTTACCACTTAAAATTAATGTATGTTTTGATAATTAAAATAATTAGCAAATGTGAATCATATTTTAAGCGCTAATAAAAAAAAAAGGTGTCACAGAAAATAGTGACAGAAAAAAAAATAGGTTGGAAGGAAAATATTTTCAAAAGCAATTAATTATTTCACAACATAGAAATAAGAAAAGAATGAAAAAATGAAATTCAAAATTTATGATTTTAAAAATAAAATTCGAAATTATTAGGTTTATTAAGATGAAAAATATAAAATTAAAATGATAGTAAAAGGTATAAATGATCGTCTTTTTTTTCAAAGTAACATTTAAAATTCGTTCAGATGTTTGTGAAATCAACAATTAAAAAAAAAAAAAGGAAATTAAATTTTACAAATGTAAAACCTGATTCATAAAATGGAAAAAATTTTTGCAAGATTGTTTGATATTATTTGCAAAATATTCACTTACTTACTTTGTCACATAATGCCATAAATGACATCATTTTCCGATTAAAATTTTCTTTTTATGTTTGTTAACGATAGATCGATTTTAGGTAATTCACCTAAAGCCTTTAATAATTTTTAAATATTATGCAAGAACGAAATGATATAAAGAGAGAGAGAGAGGAAACAAGAGAGGAAAATGTATTTTTACATTTACAACTTGTCTTATATTTAATTTTACTAAAACTTTGGTATACTCTTCATTTTTAAATTAATTAATTTCTTACTAATAATTATATATAACCAACAATTATATATTCTTACTAATAATTATGTATACTATAACTTGTATTACATTTAATTTTACTAAAACTTTGGTATAATCTTCATTTTTAAATTAAGTTTAAATTAATTAATTTCTTACTAATAATTATATATAAATGTATTAATTATTAGTATCGATAATTTTGAATCAAAAAACATTTATTTGCTCATGCATCTTTATGATTCTTTTCTACAAAAAAAAAAAATCAAAAAATGGTTTAATGTGACAGTTTTAGTAAAAGAGAGAGAGAGAGAGAAGAAAAAAAAAAGAAACGATAAATCATTGTCAACAATTGTATGCAAATATTAGCAATAAAAAGAAAAAAAAAAGAAATAATCGTATGCATAATTCCAACAAACTATAATTATTTTAAAATAGAATAATGATGAGGAAATCACAGAAAAAAAAAAAAAAACGAGAACGAAAATTATTAGAAAAT